TGCATGAGGAGTCATGTTGATAGATACTTTGCTCAGAAGGAGGAAACAGGTAATATGAATGGATCAGAATCATCTAGGAACACCTTGGAAGCAGCTCTAGATTCTATCCGATATATTACAAGGCATGTTATGAAGGAGAATGAAGTTCGTGAGGTGGGTGTATTAGTCATATTACACTGATTTTCTAAAGCTGGAAATTAGAAAATGAAGTAATGATTTACTCTACAGTTGTGTATTTAATATGTGCTATGGGATTTCCAGCTTTTGTACTTCACTGAAAGCCGTATAGTTGTGTTCACTGGAAAGAAGTACAAGTATGGTATGATACTGGCAATTCGTGTAGATATTGCACAGATACAATACACTCCTTAGGTTCTTTAAAGTCTTTTGCTTTGTTCTAGAAGTAAGCTCATGTGGTTGCACATTTGCAGAGATACTTGTCAGTTACAGGAGCATGTGCCATAAGGTCCCTACAGTGCAGCTGGATGTTATTTTCATGATGAGAGAAGTAGGTATTTTTCGTTTTGATGTTGTACCTGAAGGCTATCTGAAAAGTGCATTTGGCTTATGTTTTCAGAATAAATACTGCTAAGCCTTATTTTGCAGCTTTCAATTAAAAATAAAACCAATTTTTAATTCCCTAACTTAAATTAGTTTGAATACAAACTGTAGCCATATGCTGGTCATTTTGTGCTGAGATTGAACATGGACTAAGTGACTTCTTGAGTGTTGTCTTCTTGCCTTATTATGATTTGTCTCTAGATTATAGCCAAAGATGTCCAAGGCTTTTTTTTTTTTTATTATTATTTTCAGTCTGTACATTTGCACTCTGAACTATCCTTGATGGTTATTTACACCATTTGGGTAAGAGCATTATGAGTCTCCTTTCTTTCTGTGCTTTTTAAACTAGCACTGTTGGAACAGCTGAGACATAAATGCCATTTTCAGGCTAGTGTAGAAACACGGAAGTTTATTGTGTGGTCTCACGATTCTGCTAGCTGTTCCTGATGGCAAGGCCTGAGATTCTTTCAATTTACCCAGAAATGACTGTCTTCAGAAGTTACTGTTTACTGAGAGCATGCTCTCATATGCGAGTCAAGGTGTAAGCTAAGTCTTCTAGTGTACCTTCTCAGGACTCAATCTGACATTATCACAAGGGATCCAGCCCAGATTTTGAATGAATGTATTTACTGTACTGTTAAAACAGCATCTAATAACCCTGCATTGTATAAAATACACAAATTATGAAATATATAATTTCCTGTAAATTAAGTGTTGGTGTTCTTTCTCTCACTGAACTTTATTTGACAGTGAGTGACAAGAGAGGTGATAAGTATTTTGTCAAGTATAATGTTGTTGTGACTCTAAACCTCTGAAATGAAAATACAGCCGACTAGGCATTCATTTGTCTCTTATTATTTGGGCTCTGAAGAATGCAAGCGTTAATTGCAAAATGTTGTGAAGAAAAACTACCCAACTAGTGCTGTTGTAGCCTTACCTCTTAGAAAGCAGTAGGCTTGGGAAACATGGATAGCTCCAGTCTGAGTCAGTCAGTTGCTTGGCAGGGGTTTAGTTTGCTCTCACAATTTCCTGCTGTACTGGTAACACTGCCTATAGATGTGAATAATCCCATCAAAAAGGAAGTCTTGAAAGTACTGTGAGTATTCTCCCTCGTGCGGCAGTAACTACACAGCTTTCAGATCTTGTGTGTAACACAACAGCTGCTGTCTACTGTTTGAATTTTTTCCTTTGGTGGTGTTTGTTGGGTTTTTTGGTGGGTTGGTTGTTTGGGTTTTTTGTTTTGTTTGGGTTGTTGGTTGTTGTGTATAGAATTTTGGTTGGTTGGTTGTTTTTGTTTGGGGTTTTTTGTTTGGCTAACTTTTGCTTCTAGCTAGTGCCTGGGAATTATTTTTATGATGAGGCTGTGACCTGAATCCTAAATTCTGCAGTATGTTGGAAAATTGCGTAACCAATTTAATCTCTCTGTAGTTGATGATGTTCAGTGCTTGTCAGGGCCAGTTTCTGTACTAAAATCTAGTACTATTGGTCTATATAGCTTATAGAGGGGAGTTTGTTGTTCCTGTTCTAGCTTACAGTACAATTATAAAAAGTTACTGAAGGGGGTTGTTACCAAATGGACCTGATTGGAAAAAAGTGTACTGTGAAGTGATTAAGAACTGCAGGGTTTTTACCTGTTCTCGAACAAACTGAACAACTCCTATTCTTTTTGTTTCTTAGGTTGTTGAAGACTGGAAATATATTGCTCAGGTGCTTGATCGAATGTTCTTATGGAGTTTTCTTCTGGTTTCAATAATTGGATCACTTGTGTTATTTATTCCTGTTATTCATAAATGGGCAAGTATAATAGTGCCTACACATATAGGCAGTACAAATGCATAAAATATTTTTTGATCTGTCTCCTGCTAATATGGCTCTAAAAAGTTTTGCAATAGCTCTATTTCCATGCACGTTCTTTCTAGACATGTTTCTGATAAGAGTTAAAAAAATATCCAAACCCAGAAAATTAAGTTTCTATTAAAGCATGGCATTCCTAGGACACATAGAAGCCAATTTGCTTATTGCCAGTCTACTAAGTTACTTCCAAATCAGGTCAGTATTAAAAGGACATTCTCAAGCACTTGCATGTATGATAAGTCAGAAAATCAGACACTGAAGCCTACAGGGAAATAGAAGGATTTAAATTTTTTTTAATTAGGATCACTGTAGTCCAATTATTTAGTTACTATATAAACTGATGTGTTGAGTATCAAATATTCGCAGATATTTACACAGTAGAGTTGCTAATTTCAATTTATAGTATACAAAGGAGAATTTTAATCAGTTCTTTTGAATGTGTTGTGGAAGTATAAAGTTTCTACAGAGTAAATTTAAAATAATAATAAAAATACCAGTTAAATTTCCTGTATATTCAACATATAAGTAAAAATAGCGATTTGGCTAAGTTCTGCCTATATAAATTTTCAGTGGAATTTGCCAGTAAATTTAAAACCTTGTTAATTCTGTCATACTAACATGAACATTTAATACAATAAGCCTTAAAATGCCCACAGGACTCATGTATATCACTATCTCTGTATCAGCTACGGAAAAGAAGGCAAAGGCAATTAAATGAGTTGCCCAGTTTGCACAAGTATTCTAATAGATGGGGACATTCAGATATCTTTATTCTTGATGAAGAATTTGATACAGTTTGTCAGTTGCAAACATGTTAATAATTTCCTGCCTTTGTGTGTTTCTCAGAATTAAGTTTTGAAGCACAGGTAGAAGGAATTTGGGGAATGCCTTTCTGAAGGAAATTAATATAGTATTATTCCATTAATATAATTATTTTAACTTTCTCGCTATTACTAAGATTAAACAATGCATCCGTGACTTTTTCTGTGTGGCAGTTGCAGAAATATTTTCTTCTTCAAATGCAAAATTTGTTTTTATAGTCCTCCTTTGGTTTGAATTACTGAAGTTTACTCTTACCAGAACAGAAAGCAAAGTAAGTAAAGCTATAGATTAGCTATATATTTTTTTTCCTAATTCCCTACCTCATCTCTTTCCCCTTGTTAAATGATGTTTGTAGACTGCCCAATTGTATCATAAGGTGATTGGCAGCATACTGGCCAATGGAGTTCCAGTCTTTATACTATTAACTCACAGTTTTTGCAAATGCATGGATTTCTTTTAGTCACTTCTACAATCTGATCATGATAACTACAGATAAGATAGCTGACACTAGAATCCTTGGGGTGTTCAGCTTATCAGGTGTGTCTGCAACAAAATAATTCTAATGGTCTCAAAAGCACGGCCCTTTACTTATGTAACTTGTTTCTGAACGTGTTGAACTGTAGCTAATGCTCTCTTATACAGGTTTTTGTCAGTTGGTCAAAATAAATTGAAGAAGTGCGCAATTTTCAACAGCTTGATTCTCTTTATTTTCATAAATGTTACATCACATGATACACTGTATTTTCAAAAAGTTTCCAGTTCGGTACAGAGAGAACAGTTCATATTTTTACAAAATATTTACTCATTACAGTATTTTGTTGCATTTTTTTTCATTCATGCTCTTAAATTATCTGCAGTTACTGATTAAAAGAAAATAAGATGTGTGCCTAAAAAGCAATTTTAGCATACTTGACAGAACTGTTTTGGATCTACCTGCCTTCCCTCGTCATAAAACACTTTGCTATAGCAGAATGCTTCTGTATCCAAATTATCCTTTCAAAGTATTTTGATCCTTTGCATAACCTGCAGACTGCATCTTAGTGTGTGTCACTTGTACACAGTTTTCAACATTAGTAGGCTTGAGTAGCTTGTTTTTTCTGACAGTCTTCTCATACATTGAAATACGGGGATGCACAGAGTTTACATTATGACTGCTTCATTACCATCATCTATTATTTACATATTTGTTTTCCTTTGTAATAAATCTGCCCATGGTCCTTTCCTCGCACTGTTTGAGTCAGTTTGTACACCAGGTGGCAATATCTGCATTCTAGCAATTTAGTATGTATGGTTCCTAAACCATTTCATCCTCGTAAGGGTATTCATTGAACTCACTATGAACTTATTCCCAGAAGATCCTGTTATGATATGAAGAGACTTGGCACCAAACTTGTGGAAACAAATCTAGTAGCCCAAGGTATTCAACTTGTCTTGACTTCCTGAATATTCATGTAATTTTAAGCTTCTTTATCAACTACTTCTTAAACCATTCCTATAAAGTTTAATGTACTACCTACATCTTTTCAGATATTGCAAAAAAGTAGCTGTCAAGCATAGCTCATCTTAATTTGAGATTAGCTGTCAAAAAGTTCAAATTTTTTATTTTTTTTCCCACATTTTTAACAAAGCCTTCGTGGTCAAGCAAAGTTGAGGCCAAGAGAGATCCTTATTCTACTACACATAGAAGAGACATCACATGCTGGGGTGGGGGTGCAGTTGGTTTGCAAAAGTTTTATTTGATTTCACAACATACTATTTAATCTTTACATTTCATCTCCAGCCATCAGAGGTTGTAAAAACAATCCTGCTGTTCCTAGAATACATACCAGGATGAAAACCCATAGAAAAATACGATCGATTACCATGGCAACATATTTCCAGTCATCCTGAATCTGAAAAATAAATTGAATAGCAAGTAGGCATTTTTATTAGATGAATAACTTGCATTAGTAAATAGTACCATTTTATATCACAAGTACAGTTTTTTCCATATGTAGATGTCTTTCATGTATACACAACTTGCATATTTCTGTTTTCATTGACAAATGAATTCATCTTGAAGCAGCCTTATTTGAATATGCTATTTGTGGCAAAGCCAAAAGCTGCTTCTTCAAATTCAAAAAGTTATTCACTGAGCCACTGGACTTCATGAGATACGACTTCTCGTCTATATGCCAAAAATGGAAGTGAAAAGCTTTACATTCTTTGGTGATCTGGTTTGTCCAGAAAACTGTACTGAAACAGACTGCCCCTACAGGTCTTTAGGCAGTATGTAAAAAGACAAAGGTTAATTGATATATAATTATTTGGTATGTTTCTTATGTAGTACTGAAATTTTATTCTTCTAATGTGTAATGTAAAATTCATCTCCTTACCTCCCATTAGAGAGGGAACCAAGTTTCCAGAAACCAGAATTCTCTTTTTTTTTTTTTAACAGCGGGCATTATAACAAGAGTGACACTGAAGTATTATATATGTTATATATTAATTATAACTACATTAGGTGATCATTTTTTAGTTACTCTTGAGATTACAGTTAAAATTTTAACTTCATTTTTCTTCAGGAAGGCTAATAAGTGAATAATACGTTTGTTGTTTTTAATTTTTTTTGCTTTTTAGCTTAGATATTGTTTGTTAAGGCACCCTTTAAAAACCCAAACCAACCCCATATTTTCTATACTAACTAATTCTAGACAAAGTTCTGAGTTAAGCATAAACAAAATTGCTACCTTCTAACTTTACATGCCATACTCCTGAGGATTTAAATTCAGTGATGATTGTGGTGGTGTGCCTACTGCTCTTAGTGTTTGAGGAACATGATAAAAAGAAAACTGGTTGTTTTTTTTTTTTTATTGCATCAAATGCAATTTTATGAAAGACAATGGTCCCCATCTTGCAGCAGTTGTCTGACTTAGCTGCAGCACTTTACCCTGCAGCAGCAGCAGAATAAGCAACATCATCACTGTGAAGGACATTCATTCTTATGTTCTTTGTTACTGACAATAAGCTGTGGGAGGGAGAATGCAACTTTCCAAAGGCCACATTGTCAGCAAGTTCTGCTATTAAGATTATCATTTGGAAAATCCTCACTCTGAATCTTGTAGATTTAGATGGATTTACCCTGGGTAAATATGTTGTCGATAAAGAGAATGTTTGGCAACAGTGCTGCTCCCCAAAATCATCTACATTCAAAATGGCATGTATTTGTAATACAGCTTGGGTAATTTACTTCTATAAAATAATGGCCTGTGTTGTCCTCTTATTCTCCTTTTTTGTTTATTTTGAGATATTTTTCTTACAAAACGCACTATTGGCAAATGGTGTCTGTAGTTTTAGTAATAGTAAAATACATTCTTACCTCTTTTGCTTCATTCTGCATTTTCATATGTTCTGCAATGTATTTAACACTTTCAATAGCATCTCTCATTTCTGGTGACAGAACTGAAAATGAAAACAGAGGATCTACAGACTCGGAGCTTGAACTTCTTGTGAGATTGCCACTGAAATCTGAGAACTTCATTCGTTGGTACTGACAACAGCTGCATGCCACATCTTGACATACAAAGCCATCTTTGCAGCATTTGTTTTCAGAACTGTTGAAGCAATTTAAGTTTGAAAACTCAGAAGTGAAAAGTGATTTTGGCTTCTGATTATTCTCTTCATCACTGGCAGGCCTTGTCATAAACATGATCCTGGGAAGTAAGTTCAAGAAAATGGTTCTCACCCACACAGGCATTGTGTGTGTCTTGGGTGTTCTGTAGTGCACGTTAAGTACAAACACCGTAATGACGATAGATAGAGTTACAAATATCATGGTGAAAAGGAGGTATTCCCCAATAAGTGGAATTACCAGGGAAGTAGAAGGTATGGTTTCTGTGATAACAAGAAGGAACACTGTTAAAGATAGAAGGACTGATATGCAGAGTGTCACCTTCTCACCACAGTCTGAAGGCAAATAAAAAACTAACACGGTCAGAAAAGAAATCAGCAGACATGGAATAATCATATTGATAGTGTAAAATAAAGGTAAACGCCTAATGTAAAGAGAATATGTGATGTCTGGATAGATCTCTTCACAGCAGTTGTATTTGATGTCATGTTTATACCCAGGAGCTTTAATAATAGCCCATTCTCCACTCTCCCAGTAATCTTTCAGGTTCATTGTAGAGCCAATTAAAACTAAGTCAATTTTGGCTTTATCGTAAGACCAGGAACCAAACTTCATGGTGCAGTTCTGATAGTCAAATGGGAAGTAGGTTACATCTATTTTACATGAGCTTTTAAATATAGCTGGAGGTATCCAGGTCACATCACCTGTGTATCTTAATAGGGCTTTTGTCTTGTCATCAACCTGGAAATCCCCAACGGCACTGTAAAGCAAATAAAAATAACAAAAATTAGAATGACACTACTTCAGGTAGTTTCATACATTCAGATCATATACATTAATCTGTTTTAGGAAAGTCTTTAGCAATTGCCTGTTGACATGGAGCTGAACTGCATGTGCAGGACTGAGTCAGCAGCTGTCATAAATTTGCAGTTAAACTATGCAAATTTAACAGCTGTATAAATTTACTACTAGGGAGGATTTGAAGGGAAATAGTCTCCCTTACAATAACATGGCTCAGTGCAACCAGTGTTCAAAGCAGCAAATAGTTGTAGGTCCCAACTGAACTATTTTATTCTATTCTATCCTAGATCGAGTACAGCAGAACCCAAGCGCTTGTAAGAGGTCACTGTTGGAAAGGACCCACGTTCCTGTGTGACCTACTCTAGATGATCCTGCTCTGCCAGGTGGATTGGACTAAATGATCTTCTAAGGTCCCTTCTAACTCCTCACATTCTGTGATCTGTGCAGTTAAGTCCGTTTCACTGAGAGCTTCCCTACATAGCAGGGCGATCCATTTAGTTACGGTTTGGCTTCTCATAGTCGCAGAAACTGACATCCAAAGTACATTTACCTGTGGCTTTTATAGGACACCACTGTTATTGTAAAGGTTTCAAACTGCAAGTTTAACTGCTAAAAAGCTAAAATTTGCAGGATTTTTCAGTTAAAGATCTGCGCACAGATAAGGACTCTGTGTAGACAGTTATAAAAATAATAGTAAAACTGGGGGTTGTGAAGGGGAAAAGCAAAGTTCACTTTGGCCAGCCCGCTTGCAGCTCCAGGGCTGGAGCTGGCTCCTGCCCAGTGATGCTGACGTAGATGACACGGAGGTGACTACAGCAGTAGGGAGGTGTGGGGGACAGGCATGTTGAAAAGCAGGCTATTTCAGTTAATTCGGTGAACCTGCTGCTGATTTTTTTTTAAACTAGTAACATCACTCCCCCTTCTTCCCAAATTAAGAGAAGTATGCAAGAGTCTTACTTGTTATATAAAACAATATCTGGCTTCCAGATCTGGCCAGATGGTACTCGGATGAATTCAGCACCTCCATAGTCTGCTGGATTCCACCGGAGCTTGTAATCATTCCAGATCTAATTATGGAAGAAATAGGTCTATGTTAGGCTTGCAAAGAAATTGAAATTCAGTGGACTAGACTGAAACCAAATTCTGTCATATCACTTCCACAGTTTTGTTTTGGATACTACAATGATTAGATGTTTCCTTAACAGACCTGTATTTCTGGTGTTTATTCACATGGAGCTTGTGGGCCTCTTGGTCTAGACAGGACTTAGATATGTGTGACTCCGTGTCTACTCAGTAGTTGAAACAAGGTGAAAGAGGGAGTAAGACACTCTCTTGCCAGAGAGTATAGGACATTAGTAATAACTTAGGTCTCAAAAAGCCAGGTATAGTGCAAACAAATTCATAGGAGTGTCTGGTGCTGGATGAGTGAAGGAGCTGGGGCAGAGGGGTTAGAAAGAGCTGCAGGGTGTCATTGCTCAGTTAAGAAAGTCTTGTTCATTAGGACTTGTTAAACCTCCATTTAACGAAGTTGAGTCTTAAACTAAAGCCAGGAATTAAGTTGACTGCTAAACTGACTGCAACAGTGATTAATTGTTTGTTTAATCCATAAAGATCCTCTTAAGTGAAGTCAGCATTTTTGGTTTGTTTTCACTTTCTGGGAGCTAAACAGCACCAAGTGACGCTGTGCAGGACTCTGCTGTGCATCAGTGTCTGCCAAGGCACCGTGTCTGGGAGACTTCAGAGCAAAAACATATTAGTTGGTGACTGTATTAAGTGTAAGCGAGTGAGGGCTGCAGCTGAGGACTCACAACCTAAGTTTTACAGCTACACCCCGAGCCAGGCCCACATTTAAATGCTTGGGCATGCAGTGCCGCGTAGAGCAGAGCAGGGCGAGCACCGCAGGGCGAGCACCGCTGCTCGCCTCCTCTCCGGCCGGGGGCGGCCCGGGCGAGCGGCGGAGGCCGGTGAGCCGCGAGGTGTCGTTGCCGGCATCCGCGGCGGGAGGCGTCTCTCAGCTCTCCGCGGCCGTCGCGCACCGCTAGGGGGCAGC